CTAGACAAGACTGTAAGTATTTAGTACCTTTACAGTGCTTTGCATCTTCAAAGCACTCTGCAAACATTAACTGATTAACATAACTGTGCCATCTGTTTTGATGTTTACATTTTGTGCAGGCAAAATTCCTGCTTTGCTTTATTACCTCTTGCAGGTATGTGGCTGTCATTATTGTGGCCCTTTGGAGGATGGTAAAGTCAGGTCCATGCATGTCTACGGTAACGTTTTGCCTTAAAACTCAAGCCAGTGCCACTGGGGCTCCCCTCTCTGACCTGGCTATGACGGTTGGGATTACTTCCCTCTGAAATTTCAGCCTCTAGTCGGGAGAAATTGTTGTTCCTAGTGGCTGCCGGAGGCTGCTGCCTCCATTGTTGCTTTACTGCTGAATTTAACTGTTTTCTCCCCAGCTGTGGACAGGCAGGGACACATCCAGTCATGTGGGATTCTTCTCTGCAGAATGCTCCCAGATAGGCAGCTGAAATATCATCTTGGGCAGAAAAAGTCATGGAAACCATAAAGGCAGTGAAAAGAATAGGAAACCTTTTGCTTAGCTTTTGGCTTAAGGTTGTTTTTCTCTCCAGCTCCAAGAAATGTAATGTTTTTGTTCTTTTTCCTACTTGATAGTGGAGATTTTGTGTAACTTAAGGGCTGTACTGATGAACCAGTGTTAATTTTCTATTTCAGTTTAATTTCTTACTAAAGATTTAAGTCTGTTCAAAGACTGATTTAAATCAAAACACTGTTAGCACTGGCAGCCATCAAAGCTGAAAAATCTTAAACCAAACACAAACCACACTCTTCTTTTATGTCTTTTTTTTTTTTCTTTCCAACTCCTTCCTATTTCAGTGTTTCACAGCCTGAATGGTGTTAGAGGAAGATCGCACGACCTAAAACTACCTTTATTTCCAAGTTATTGCAACTTTGTTTTGCAGAAGAGCTGTAAAAGAAACAGTGCTCTGCTGTCAGCAAGGAGAGACTGGCAGTGTTTTGATTCAGGGAAAAATTGCAAAGACACTCAGTGAGAGAAGTGAATCGTGAGAGATGCGTAGCGAGGCAGTGCGCTGGCAGACTTTTGCGTCAGTGAAGGAGTCATCCTTTAAAATCTCAGATTAAACTCAGATTAAATTGTGCCATGCCATCTTGTGGGAATCAGCCATGACCGAGAGGAGACGCGGCGGCTGCCGGGCGCCAGGGAAAGGCCTGCTGTAGTTGCACCTCATTTCTGGATTGCTGTGCGCAGAGAGGCAGACATCATGCACGGTCCTGGAAGAGGCTCTTTCACAAACTTGATGTCTGGCATAGTTCACACCATGATTTAAGTGTGACCTCAAGGCATTTGCAGGGAATATCTTTATAAAGACTGTGACGAATGTGCAAGAGACTCGCACGGACAAATTTTTAGTTAATAAATCAACAAACCTGCAAAATGAGGATATAAATGTGTTGAAAGGACAGACTTGGACAGACCTAGATGATGGATGTGGCTTTTCTTCACACTAAATATTTTTGCAGTATTTTTGTGTTTGTTTGCATACTTACTTCTGGTAAAGACATTTTGCTACGCTTGAAGGCTAGGATACGGCAGTGGGAACAAAGCTCTGACAAAATGGAATTCTCCTTTGTCAGGCTGAGGTATCAGAAAAGCTGATGTCAAATGCCACCAGGCTCTGACTGGAAGCCTTTATGGAAAGGCTGAATGTTTCGTAACAGATAGGCTGTGGAAGTGGCTTAGGAAAGGACCTTGTCTCGTGGCATCCCTAGGGTGAGGTAGGCACAATTATTCCTCTTGAACAGAGATTCTCACTTGCCAGAGCAAGGCTGGAAGGAGCCAGACACAGCCATGAGCAACTGGCTCTGGGTAGCCCTGCTTTTGCAGAGGGGGGTTGGACGAGATGACGTCCAGAAGTCTCTCCTTACCTCAACCTTTCTGTGGGTCTGTGATTCAGAGCCTTTCTCCTATTCCCTCCTAAAATTTCCTCCTGACAGTTTGGTTTCTTTCATATATGTGCTGCAGTCCCTGCAGTAGGTTACTCTGGGAAGGAAGCATATGAATACAGAGAATTGCAGATGTAATAAAGTTATGTGCAGCCAATTTCACAAGATAGAAGAGTGCCTCCTATAAACCGCTGAGCATCTCAGATGGAAGGAATTACGCTGAGAACATGAAGCACTCTGTTAGACTCAGTGGACTCTGGCTTTATATAGAGTATCTCACAGCAAGCAGAGTGAATTTTGCATCTGACTAAGTCAATGGAGAGGAATTCTACGCGTCTTCCCTATGATTGCCCGTATTAGTCCAAACATTCCCCGCCCCTCCGCCCCCTCAGCCCCTGAAAAGAATATTATAGCATTTTTATATTCTGTAAAGGAAAATGCTTCATATAATCTTTGGAGATACTTCTGTCATCTTAAATGTGTTTCTTCCAGCTTTTTACATTCTTGTGGTTCCGTATCTCATCTGCTTTTTTAGTTCTAGTCTTTCATTCACCCCTAAGTTTTGGGGGAATGAAACCACAGTAGCAATGTCTTCAGGTAGGGTGTAATGAGATCCCATGTGGGGTGGGGAACTTTACATTTTTAACCAACTTACAAGTAATTTTGTTTTATTCTGTAAAGTAATTATGATAAGCAATCAATGGCCTTATATCTCACATAAACAAAAAGGGAGGAGGTCTCTCTTACTGCAACACCATGAAGTTTCTCGAAGTCCAATATATGAAGTGAAATATTTGCATGTAGGCACAGAGGGAAGCACTGTGCAAGCATCTAATTGCAGCACTCCCTGCTGACTGTTTTTAATGTGTGTTGGTTTTATTAAGCATTCTTAATAAGATGCTAGACTTTTGCTTAGACAAAAAATATAAGAGAAACGGCAACTTCAGTTCTCAGAGTACTGGAGTGCATGTAGTTGGGAAAACCTTTCTGGATGCGGCAGATGAGGTGAATTTGTTCCATCTGTGAAAAATAATAATAAACTGGTTTTTTAGTCCTGCGTTGCCTGACTTGCCTTTTGTGTGTGTATGAGTGTAGGCGCGCGTACGTATGGCTCTGTTACATCTTGAAGTTTTGCTTTCATGTGTTATAGTATGCATTGCATATGAAGGATAACGTTTGCATGACAAATTGCAGATCCATATGGCATGGTGTTTTAACATCCTGTACTTTTAGGTATTTTCAAGGAACTCTGTCTGAGAAGGTGAAGAGGGGAATCGGCTGGTGACTTCTCACTCTAAGTGACTTCTCTTCAAAATGCTGCTGTCAAATAAAAGTGGTCATGGTTCAGTCCTAAATCAGAATGAAATATAAAAATGACATAACGTTATACATTGATATGTGGTAGCCATTAATTTGGTTCTGTCCTGCTAAAGAAATTCATAGCTTTGCAGAGAAAGAGACACCGTTTCTTCTAGTATGTAAGAATCCAGATTTACAAGTCTTTAATGATGTGCCATTTCTAGCTGGGGTTAAGATACTGCAGATCATTATTAGCCATCTCAGCAGCTCCTCTTAAACTCTTCACAGTTACAGCCTGACTCTGACCAGGTCTGTGATAACCTATGGGCTTTACTAAGGATAGTAACTAGTAATGAAATTATTTAACACTGTTTAGTGCTTAGCTCAAAGAGTTTTTAGGGATATGAATGAAGCAAGGTGTAGCACTATACAGATTTATCATCTTTCACTTTAAATTACTTTTAAAATGCATTCCTGGCTTTGTCTTCATAATTAATGTTTCCATCCCCACTTGTGGCTCAGAAACCTTTATATTTGGCTACATGATGACTTACTTGTTCTACACAAATCTCATGGTTCACTTCTCACAACAGGCTAAATATTTCGCTTAAGGTAATTACCTGACTTCAAAGGAACTTTCATAGAAAAGTAATAATATCAAGAAGAGCCTATATGCTATAAATAGGGTATAAAATTCCACATTAAAGATGTGTGTATATTACAGGAATCTTCAGAGCAGTGTGAAATATAATTAGGGCCTTCTATGGAGGCATAAAATTCTCAGTAATATGTGCTAATCTTATTTGCTTGGAATGAGGTGGGAATATACCTATCAAGACATCTTTTGAAATATTTGAATTCTTTACATCTGAGTTTCCAGTCATACTTGTCTGACTTGATCTTTTCTTCCTTGTCATTTTTCCATCCTGAAAGGTTTATTTGTGGATAAGCTTTCTCCTCTGCACAGGAAAAATCAGAAGCCTGAACTTTCAGTAGACTTTTAGAATTTTAGTGAGATGTAAAATGCTTTTTTAGAAAAGAGGAAGAAGAAGTAACATAAATAAGTTCATGTGTGATTATGTGCTCTTCACTGTGTGTGTTGATTGCCTGAGCAGTCATGTTGTAGTTGAAGGCAAGTCAGGTCCTTCAGTGTGGTGCCATTGCTGTTAAGGCCTGTTGTTTGCAGCATCTCATTCTTCCTACAAATAGAAGTCTGTTAGAAAAGAATATTTCTAATTAACATACAGCTTTTTCTGAGGAAAATGTGTTTTATTAATGTCCTCATGTCACTCACAACTAAAGTATTTGTCCAGAGTACGTCTACAGGGATAATGGTTTTAATGGAAAGTATTGATTGGGTGCATAAGGGTTAGTACAGGAATTACTGCAGGAATGGTCTGCTCTCAGTGCTGGCTGTGCAAGCAGCTCGAGAATAAGGCAAAGAATTGCTTTTGTCCAGAACAGGAAAATTTCTGGTCTTTGGTCTCTGGAATTTAAAGCAGCGCTTTTGCTTGGAAGGTATTGTTACAATTAACATTGTACAGACAGACAAACTCAGAGAAGGGCCAGTGACTGATCCAGCAAGTTACTGATGTAGGGAGGAAGGGACTGAGCTGTCCCGTCCCTGCAGTTGCCTGCGGGACCGATGGCTGCCCTGCCTGATTCAGCCGCCTGAACAGAAGACAGTTTGGAGCAGCACTGCTTTGGGTATGGTTACGTAATGAGACTTCCAAAATGTAGTCACTTGGCAGAGTACTGGGTTTGTAAACTTGCTGTTGTTTGAGTGGGAGCAAGAGAAACAGAGTTTGGGAGGAACTGGTATGTACATGACAATTAAAACCAGAAGTTTACGTCTGTCTTGTGATTTATTACAGGACTTTTAGTAATCTAGAGCAAAACCAAAACCAAGTTACCTGAATTACTGTTTTACATTAGTTCCCAGTTCATTTTAATCTTTATACTTCTGGGCAGAGTTCTGCTCTTCTGGTAGGGTGTAAAAGGTTCTGAAATGTTCCTCAAGCATTGCTTGCCACTGCCAGTTGCCATTGGTAGTCATCTTTGCATCTTACTACTAAAATAAACTCAAAATACACTATTTTCCTAATTATATGTTCTCTGTAGGTAGTAGTTCCAGGTGCCAGTAGCAGTACCTGTAGTTGAGGGGGAGAGTGGCCTTACTTCAGTTGTGCCTCTGTTACAGCAGAGTTCTATGAAAGATTTTTCTCTTGAAAGCAAAAAGATTTTACAGTCTAACAATCTGCCATGTTCACTGTAAAAATTTCTGGAAATCTGGAAACTTCTAGGAGGAGAACAGGCTTATTTCCTCTCGGCATCCTTGCAGGCAGTGCAGTGAAGTCTGGGGACCTGCATTTGCAGGGCTCTCCAGGAACTCACCTGGGCATCTCCCTTGGGAAGATGCATTGAACCAGAACAGCTCAGAAACTTGGGGGTCTGCAGCACTTCTGGGGCACCCCAGAAGCCTTGAAAGCCTTAGCTAAGGGAGGTGATTAAGGAAATCCAGCTTCTCCATACTCAGCCTTCTTTGAAGTTAAGAAAGCAAATTTACTTTGAAAACTCCAAACAGGACCCTGTCATGAACACTTTTGTTTACAGAAACCTACTCTTAGTACTACCAAAAATAGAGTTTTTCAAATCTGGGATGAGTCAAAAAAGCTCTGTGTGTTTTGGGGGGATTGTTTAAAAGATTTTTAAAAATAGAAACTTGGATTCTGGAACTGAATGGATCTGGACTGAATTTTTTGATAAGGAAGGTGCATCCACACTTATTATGTGGTGTCATAAAACACTATTTTCAGTCTACCCCTTATTCCAGTGACTAGACATATGAATTTAATACAGGATCATTATTTTAGCATAATTTTTTTTTTAAATCTGGTGTCAGCAAGCTTAAAATATAGAGGGACCTTTGCAAATAGATTGTTCTTATTGTTTAACTGAAGGAAAATAGGATGGCTGGGACCATTCAGGACATGTGTGCTTTCAAGGTCCTCCTAAATTTTTTCCTTCTGACTTAACAGAACAGAATCAGGAAAAAAAAGGTAATAGGTTGATAACCATGCAGACATAATAAATAAGGTTTAATTTAGACGGGTTCTTCTATCTCAGCATCACCATTGCATTGTTTACTTGGGAAAGAAGACACAGCAATAAACAAACAAACACAAAGACTTATGGCTAGTGACCGCCCGTGTATCACTTAGCAACATCAATATTTTTGTGCACAAATAAAGGTCTCCTGCACGGTGCCTGCTGCCAGTATGCCTCTGTGTGTGTGTGTGTGTGTGTGTGCCTGCTGCCAGTATGCCTCTGTGTGTGTGTGTGTGTGTGTGTGTGTGTGTGTGTGTGTGTGTGTGTGTGCCTCTGTAGCACTGACCTTGTATGCAGAGAGATCAGTTTGTCAGTGATTGGTCACTCCTTAATTTGGATGTCTAGACATTTCAGTCCGCACGAGCGAAAGGCAGACATCTAAAGACGTGAGAAGAGATTCTAAGGGATACTAGGACCTTAAAATAATTCCCCGGCAAACTGCAAATGTATTTTTTTCGTTTTAAAAATATGTGGTGTAAGTGATTGAATGGAACACATGATTGAAGGCTTTATTTTTTTGTTATCACTATTAATTAGTATGCTTCTTGGATGTTTTCGTGGGTGTGATATAAATAGGTAAAGCTTCCTTAAAGGTTATTGGCAAGTGCAAGAGAGTTAATATTGGGATTGGTCTGCTGGCGGGTAATATGTTGTCTTCATTGGCTGAGAAACAGAATCCAGAATATTTAGGGAAAAAATGAAATATGTTTAAGTGAACTACCAAATCTTAGTTTATAATGTTAAAACTACAGTCAGAAAGGTCATTTCCGAGAATGTCCAGATGAATAGAAAAATATTGTCCACCATCTGCGTTTTATTCAAAACCTCTCTATGTGCAAGCAAATGTGTTTCTATCCACATGTAAAAAGGGCTCAGTTCTGCCAAATGCTGAAAGCCCTCAATTCCCACTGATGCTACTGGGCATTTGAGCGCTTCCAGGGCATTAGCCCTATGTTTGCAAAACAGTGTCAGGCTCATACAGTTGCAGTGGCCCAAATTTTCAGCTGCTCTTTAAATATATGTACAAATGGGGCGAATGATCACCTAGTTATCGTTTGCATGGATGGTTGTGTTCGGGATATTGGATATTTGTATGATGAATTAGAATTTAAATTTTGGGAAAAAAAAGTTTAAATTTAGAAAGTCTTGTCTATTACCTTAAGAATATTTTACTGTAATAATATCTAGAATGTGACAGAGCTTGAAGGAGCTGTTAGTATCTTTTGGAGAGCTGTTTTAGTCTTTTTGTTTTTAATCCTTTCAGTGATAAATCCCAGAAAACAGCAACTGGTGCTTGAAGAGCAGCCAGCATGCAGAAGCAGACACTCTGCAGCACTGCAGCAGCAAATTATTTTGAAAATAAAGTGATGCAGTTTGATTTCAATACTGGTGTACTCTGTCCAGTATCAGAATATTCCCACGTGGGAATAGGTATAGCGGCATCACAGAGAAACTTCTATACCACTATAGATGTGTCTGTATTACAAGCTGTGCTGGTGTGAACTGTTTAGGTAAGAATCACACCTGTAACTGAACCAAGTGTATTGATGCAGAAACAACAGACCAGATCTCAGAGCTAGTTTGTACTGGGAAGATTCACAGTACAGTGTTAGCAGAGTGGTTTACCTAGCTGTACCTCTGGGGATGTGACACTCACACCCCACCTTCCCTCCCCCTCAAAGCTGTGAGAGCAGTTCATTTCAGCAAAAGAGTCAATTTATTTTCAGGTAGGTCTTAGCCTTAATTCTGTGAGGTAATTGCACATCTAGAATAACTTCAGGTTGTCTCTCCTACAAGATTGCCCTGTTCCTTTTTAGTTTTCTTTTTTTTCCCCTCCTATCTAATGCTAGGCTCAAATACTAATAGCAAACTGCATTACCTCCTGAATTCTGTATCAGATACAAAGAACTGCCTCCCTTGGGCAAACATTCCTAGATTTGTGTGGATGTGGAGGCAGAGGAAAAATCGACACAGACATGTGATGGCAAAGCACTAACACTGACGGGTCTCTTGATGTTGTAAGTACTGTCTCCTCTGGTATATCTGTCCCATTTGTAGAGGCAGGCCACAATTACTGTATATTCCTTCCCCTCTCTCTTCAGCAAACTTTGTTTCTATGCAAATAATTAACATACATCCATACCCTAAACCTTGTCGAACTTGCATTGCTGATGAAGCTTCTCCTGGAGCATATTTAAATGTGCCAGGAGGGCATTTAAAAACAGGGAAGAAAGTGATGGGGCTTTTTTTAGAAAACTCTCTCTTAAAGCACTCTTATAGAGCAAATTGTACTTTAATTAATTAGGTAAAATAAACAGCAGTGGGGTTTTGCATCACTGACTTGCCCTTCTTATGTGCTAGTGTGTTAAAATGTTTTATTTGCAGTATTGCCTGCTAGTTCTTGTGCTTTTATTGCATGTTCCACCGTTTTCTGCAACTTTCAACTCTGAGATTCTCATGATTATCTGAGAAGCTCACCTTTGTTAACACGTAGTGACAAGAAAATTAATACCAAAAAACCCTCAGTGAGATGTTATGGAAAGAGAAGGTGATATCTGCTTAAAACGAACCTGATTTTCATGTTCCACACTTGTTCTCATCATTTTCATTCCCACTCCCACAACCCCCATGCTTTTAAGATGGGGGTTTAAGAGATGTGTGCCAAAGAAGTGATCTGGCCAGGATCAGTTGTCTCCCTGGAGGACACCCACCAACTTCTCACCATGTGGCTTGACTTCTGCATCTGTGATGCCCTATTTTTGGTGTAGGTATTCTCAATCCTTTGGCAGTCAAGCACATTATTTTAGTATGTCCTTTCACTCGTGAGTCTTGCTTACCTCAGCCTAGGTGGATATTAGATTGCAGGCTGTTTCCTGGGTTTGCCTGCTGTGGGTGTCTTTATGGCTACAGTCATCTTCCCTGTTGGATGAACAGGAAGAGAAGTGGCACATATAGCATGATGCAACTTCACTGCTATCCTCCTCCTGTCAGGGCGCAGGTCTTCTGCTAATCCGTGCTGTGGGCTTCCTAGGGCACAAGCTTCCTGGTCCTGATGCAAACACCACATTACCCAGTGCTTACCTGTTTGATTGTTATCAGTGTGTCCATGGTTATCAAAATGTTTCAGTTTTTTTCCTAACGTTGCTGTATTGCTCTTCCTGTTGCTTTTACTGAAAGACATTTCTGTCCATCCATTCTTCAGACCAATCTTAATATTTCTGCTAGAAATACTACAAAACAGAAAAAACCAAGATTCTAATGGGAAGTATTTGAAACTATGACTTAAAGAAGTGCAAATCGAGATATCAGTTGAAAAATAAATAGTACCTAGTGCTTTTGTAATGTCATGATTTTATATCGGACTGTCATTTGGGTTTGGCATATCTGTAATTGCGGTTTGCCAGTATTACAGCTAAAACAAGCCAACTAGGACATTTTAAAACATTACATTTTCTTGTAGTCTAGACATATTTTCACAGACAGTCCAGCCACAGCTAAGGGTCTCTGTAGGCCTAACACAATTCAGATGCTGCTACTTTTCAGACAATCTTAGGGCATACTGGCCCTGAACACAGTATATGAAGATTACTCTTTTATTGGCCAGATTGGCAAAACCGAGTGGTTGCTGCCTTGTGCAGTCACTTTGCTCCCATTTTTGTGCTGCCTTCTGTGGTTTTTCTAGCTTACCTTTTTTCTGATCTTGTTCACTCTGTGGTTGTTCATAGGTTTCTAGCACTATAACAGAATGGGTACAGCAAGATAGGGAATACCTGGAAGCTGTTCATCAGTCTGTCCTGGGATTTTCTTATCTGTGTCCCTGGTTGCATTACATCAAGAAGGAAGTACTGCATAAGTACACGGCACCCGTAATGCAATATCCTAATATTCAGAAGTTTCCATTAAGGTCGCTTGTTTTTGAAATTCGGGGGTATATCGCTAGGAATTATCCTGTCCTCTGAGATGCTAGTGCTGAAATATGAACTGATGGAAATGTGAACAAATTGTATTTTCTGAATGACCTCTGTGGTTTCATGTATGTGACTGGACATACTGTTTAGCTCGGTTAACCTGGGCATGTAACTAAGCTATTCCAAAACTGGTCTGCTTTAACATTTGTTTGTTCCATTTGTTAAAATTATATTTTATGCTAGCAGACGCTTGCTTACCTTTCGCATTCATTTAGTAAATTTACAGTGTGTTCCCCTATCATGTCCTTTGACAAGGTATTATCTAAATGAGCTCCAAAGAATTGTTTTAATTCCAGTTCCTCCCTGGTTGTGTTTTTGGTTTTGTGGTTTGGTGTGGGTTTTTTTGTTTGGTTGGGGTTTTTTTTCGTTTGTTTTTTTAAAATTCTTGTCTGTAGCGTTCCCAGCAGTGCAGTAGCCAGGATTCGATTTCTGTCAGAAATGATACTGCTTCAGTCTCGTCTCTGTAAGTCTCCGCAGGGAGGTTAGAGGGTGGTTATCCTCCGGCTGGTCTGGACCTGGTCCAGCATTCAGTGAGAATGCAAATCCCCTTGAAAGCAGATACCTTCTCTGCAGTGATACTGCCTTTATGTTGCGTGTGCTTCAGGAAGCCTATGAGAAGTTTATATTTGCATCAAAATACTGTTATGTTTTAAAGGTGCCCAATTTGTTGCACTTCTGAAAGCTTAAATGTGCCTAATTCTTTTTTTTCCCTTTTTTCAACCAGAAAAAGAAGAGAGTATATGTAATAGGACTCAGGGCCTTGCCACAGCAGTGTAGATTATTGTTACTGCTTTGTTGGAACAAAAGTTCGATTGTCAAGGCTTTTGCAGCAGTTCAGCACATTAATTTTGTGATGCGAGGATCCCACATCTTCCTTGTTTTCTAAGGTACGGTGTGGCAGGATGAGCTTCAGCAAGCTGGGCTTTGTTGCACATCCTCACTGTCCAGGTACAGAGGCTTTGGCCAGAAGGCTCGATTCGAGCAGGTGGAGTGGCTTTTGGAGCAGATGTGGTGCTGAATAGCAGGAGTGAGGACGGAAAGCCCAAAACCAGTTTTGTGGCCCAAGATGCCTACCCTCTCCTTTTGTAAGAGGGCTGGCGAGCCATGTGTGCCACGCAGGGCCAGCTGCTGTGGGGTGGAGTGTGGGCTGTGGGGCAAAACGTGCTGCCAACTCAGGGGACGGCCCGGGCTGCTCTGCGGCCGGGACAGCGGTGGGATGCCAGATCCCTGGTCCCCTCTCCTCCACCGCCGGCAGCGGTGTCACGGGAGCTGATCCTGCCCATGCAGAAGAGTCTTTTCACTCATCCGCAGCCGAGCACACTGCCCTTAAAGCGGGCCGTAAATCAGCCACTCTTCCCCGGATTCAAGTTTTATCTTGCTGGGGCCGCTCAAAAATAACCCGGGGGGCCGCGGGGGGCCGCCCGCGGAGCGGTGGCTCGCCGGGCACAGCTATTTCCGTGCGGGGCTGGATGGGCATCGGGGGGCCGGCTATAAACACCCGGGGGGGGCTCGTCCCTCCCCGCGCACCAGCCCCTCTGTTGATCGCTCTGTTGTCACTCCCATAGCGACCGTCGCCACGTCGCGCCTTCGCGTCCTGCCGGGCACCCCCATCCCCCTTCTCCCCCCCTCGCTTCCCGGCTCCTCGGGGCCGGCTGTCGTGTTTCCAGAAAAAGCCGGCCCCGGCGGGGGCCGGGACGGGCCGGGGCTGCGGGACCCGCGGCCGGCAGGTGTCCCCGGCGCCGGCCCGGGAGCGGCTCTGGCCCCGAGGGCTCCCGCGGCCCTGTCCATGAGGGGCTCCCTCCCTCCACGTCCAGCCGGGAAGCAATAAAGCAGTTTTCCGGGTTCAGGGAAAGAGCTCTGTGTGTGTGTGTGTGTGTGTGTGTGGTGGGGGGGCTGAACTGTCAGCTGTTTGCAATAAATAAACGTAAGTCAAATTCCCCGTAGGGTTTAATGAGTTAATTAGGAATTTGATTAAAGCGTAGATATTTCATAACTGTTTTCAGTCCCTTTCTTTCCACGCCACCCACCCCCAACCGAAGCTTTCCAACAAGCTCCTCAAAGCTGCCTAAACTGACAACCTTCTCCTGCACCCGGAGAACTTGAGGGGAAATAGTAGAGAAGGTGCCCAGCTGTGGAGCCTGCAGTGAGGAGCCCGTATCACCAACCATTTTCAGTCCGCAGGAGGCCAACATCCTGTAATCCAAACGGGAGGCTAAAGAGGAGTGGACAGACGTCACCTATCCGAAATGTGGGTGATACCTATCCTAGCTTGCCAGATTTTCTTCACTCCTTGTCTGCTGGCATCACGTTTCACCATTTCAGCATGGTGCGTTCCTGCACACCGGGTTGCCTGCAGCACCTTCTCATCCCTTCCAAGAGCTGAGCCTCTTCATGCAGGTGTCCCTCAGGACCTGCCTTCCCCCTTCTCTCAGTGATCCCCTAGACACCCCTCCCCAGCTTGCCAACACACCTGGGGCTGAGCTGGTGGTCCCAGCTACATTCCTTATCGTTTTCCGTGGTGGCTATTTTCTTCTTGATAAACCTTTCCCAGCTGCAGAACAGATCTTTCACTTCACTGAGACATATCTCTGATAGGCTGCATTTTAAAATGTGACTGCTAATATATTAAAATTACCCAGATTTTTAGGACTTTTTCTCCTTTAATGTTTTTGTGTAGACAAAGGATCTCTGTCTACTTAATTTAAAAATTGCGAACTGTTCTTTCCCTCATCCATTGTTTGATTTTGGAATAGTTGTGTGTTTTGTTTTTTTTTTTTTAACTGTGCAGAACATGTCACCTCAGTGAGCCTCAGCTCAGCAGTAAAGTCTCTATGGCCTAGTTTCTGGAAATTATGAAGATCCACTGATTCCTGAGTAGTCAACAGGAAACAGAGTGATGTGCATCTTTGAAAAGCAACCTTGTGCCATAGAAAAATTATTATTTAAAAAAAACAAGTGTGCACGTATGAACACTGGAGCGATAGGGTAAATGGCTGTGAATGTGCCTCAAGCTAGCTGAGAGGCTCAGAAGGTTAGAGCCACTATAAAAGTTACCCAGAGCCACATGGTGGCATCCATGTGAGAATTTTAGTGGCACTTACTATGAAGGTGCACTTGAGTTCCAGGAGAGATTTAGTTTTGGGGTTTTAACTCTTAGTTATTAAAAACTAGAACAATATTTTTTTCTAGAGTTTTTCCTTTTTTAACAGGAGGGGGAGGGCTTTAGCAACTCTTCTCATTGCGTGTATTGATGTAATCTCCAAAGAGGTTACCAAGGTTAGATTTTTGAACAAGGCAGTTCTGTAGATATGTCATTACGTAGTCAGAAAATGCGAGTGCTGAGTTCTTTTGAGGCTGAACATTTCTGAATGCTGAGAACTTCTGAAAATGTTTCTCACTGTATGAAATTGCTGTGCATCATTAAAAAAAAGAAGGTGGGAGTCCGGGTAGCTCAGAAGATAAAATGTGTTCTGCATGGCTTGGGACTAAGGACAATCAAGGAGTGAGTGCTGTATGGTGAAGGCAAGGCATGTGTAATGCTTATTGCTTCTCCAGAAGTCAGGCTTTTACCACCATGTAGACACAGCCATGGGTTCATCTTGCTGTTCCTATTTGTCAGCTTACCCTTTGCCTTTATCATCCACCAAAACTTTAATTAGTTATGGCTGCACAGTAAGTGTGGGCTGCGTGTGCCACTGCAGGGACTCGTGGGTGCTGTGCTGCCACGTGCAATGGTGTCAGTGTGGGGGTTTCCTTCCTTTGATACCACTGAATTGGAAAAACTTCTTCAGCTCTGCTTGTGGCTGTGTGCATTCTGTATCTGTAAAGAGTGATTATAATAGTCACCTTATCTCACAGCTAAAGGACTGCATCAGAAAACTGTTAGAGGGTAGGTTATTGGCACCAAACATTTTCTGTCAGTTTACAGTTCTTCAGTCTGAAAACTCAGCCAGTTTACACTCTGCTTGATCCGATTTATGTCCAAGATGTTTTCTCTGTTGTTCAGAACGAGTAATTTTCAGGGTAGAAATCATTCTATCTTTTCTTTTAACCTTCTTAGTTCTGAGGATTCTAATTTGTTAACTGTTCTAAATGATGGATGATGGATGATGCCTCCATGGAGATGGTGGTGTAATTACCGGAACCTGAATGCCTTCGTGCTGAGGGACCATATAACATGGAGAAACTAAGACTGTAAAACTACCTTGTGAAGAATTATTTTTAGGACATAAGAATACAAAGTTCTTGTTTAGAACTTCCCTACAATTTTCTTTTAAGCGCTTTTATAAATAAATAACCATTATGGCCTATTTCATGACCAGTGGAAAATGTAGGTATGAGGATTAGACTTATTTGTGACAGAGGTACAGACAAGAATGGAAGAGACTGGATTGCTTCCAAGCTTCTGTAGATTTCCTGTCCATTGCCATACTGGTTGGGTCATGTTGCTTCCCACCTAATGCTTTTGTCCCTGGTAAGCTTTGAGTTTGAACTGGTGGTGGCTTGTCATGCTCTAGTGTCATTAGAATGTTTGTTTGAGGGGAGGAAACCCAGAAAAATGAATTAAGAAATGTTATCTTGAGCCTTTTTGAATGTCAGTATTCATTCTTAATTGAGCTTGCTTTAACTTGCCTTAATTCTTCTTTGGTGTGGTGAAGAGTTCTTAAGTATATTGAATTTCATGCTGTTTGATGTAGCAATACACATTAACATATGGTGAGGAGTAAATGTAAGTATGTTGTGCTATTCTGTCTTCCATAACTAATATTATCATCTAGTTGCCATCTTAATCACAGTTCCTTCCAATTTCTTTCTTTTCAGTCACGGGGAACTCATAACGTACAGGTCATCTGGTCTGTATGGCAGCCAAAGATCCCAGTTTGCCCAATAAGCTGGTGGTGTTGGCAACAGTCTTCAATGCCAGGGTCAGGAAGACTGTAGCACAAAACTTGTGGGTGGTTTCTTTTTGTGCAGTACATGCTATTTATATTAGTGAAAAGATTCTAGAAACCTTTCTCTCTTAATTTTGTTAATGTACTTGCTTACAGTGTAATCTCATCTTGCATCCATCTGAAGCACAATACTGACTAATCTTCATTTGCTTAACCTGTTTACTAAACCCCAAGTTTCCCAGAGCAACAAGGATAACACATGAAGGTGACTCAGGTACAGTTTAAGAATATAGAATAGCCTGGAATAAAGGGCTCAAGAATAGCAAGTGGGAGAGTTATTAACAGCAATTTAAGCTAATCCGTCTAGCTGTTGAACAGAGAGCCCTTGCATGACAGGGCAGTGATATTCAGCATGGGAGCAGTGAGTGAGCTTTGCAAGAAGAGATCTAATACACCTGTCCTATGGTGGCCTTCCTTTTGAAGCAGATGTCACTAAAATACGAAACACCAACCACATGAAATTCTATGAAATTCTTAATAAAGAGGCAAGGTAGGGCTTGCACCACTTTCTTCACAGGCAATATTTGTTTTTAAATAGCTTTAGATTGCCACTCGAGATTTATGGGGTTCCAGTTGTTACGTTAGTGTACAGATTGAACTTCAGGGTCTGTATTTTAAAGGTATTTACAGGTATCTTAAAATTGACTTTTGGGGATGAGAATACTCTTCCCATACTCAGAAATAGATTACTTTGAGAAAGGGGGATAAACATCTATTCGACTGTTTTAATCCATTGAGCTTAAGTATTATATCTTTCTCCTGCAGAATATTTTTCTCCAACAATTCTTTTTGAGCTCAGTTTACTCAGAAACTTAGTTCTCTGAACAAGGGAGACTGGGAAACTTTGGTGTTTGTAAAAAATATGGTTATATGAAATAATAAAACCATTTTTTTAAAAAGAACTTTACTCAGTTATAATTACTCTTTATCTTTGTGGTTTCAGAAAATCGCCAATTGCTGCTTTTGTACATATGGATGATTTTATAATGTAGGGTTGAAGGCACTGGGAATGTTTATGTGGTTTTGCATTTTTTGTTAGTATTTTAATTATCATCAGTTTCTCTAATCAGACCATGCCATTAACATTCCTTCTACTCGATGCTTAATGGGAATCAGAGTTGAAGTCTGATGTGAAACAACTGTATTGTTCTTTGTTCCTGGTTCTGTGTCTGCATGTGTAACTTGCACACATGCACACACACACACACACATCCTTTTTTAATTTGTAAGTAACAGTGTTAAAATTTTCTGGAAAAATGATAAGAAGGTGAGAGAAAGTCCATAACAAAGTAACAGGGGGACAGAGCCTACAGAACTGAATGCATTGATGCAAAGGGCTTCTTTCATTGAGCAGACACACAGCGTCCATCACAAGTACTAACCAGCATTTGAACGGCTCATGTAAATGTTGTAGTTCTTTGAAAACCAGTAATATAGTACTGAAAAGTGAGGGTGATTTCAGCTTCATTTAATTATCAATTACTGTGTTCCTTCTTTGAATGACCTGC